ACATGCAAAGGGGTTGAATCATCTGCATACAGAAGAAACAACAACTTCCTAACATCTTATGAACATGAACATCATCTTCCTGAGATGGGTAAAGATGAAGAAGGAGGAGTCACGTGACCACGACCAAAACGTTCAAGTGTGAAGGGATTCCAATCTGTTCATTGGAGAGTTGAAAACATCACTTTGAAAGTATTATTAATAATACTTAACAGTGTAAGTCTTTTCCCTGACCAGGTCAATGTAGCTAAACAACCAGCTATGTACCCTTGATGTACAGTTTATACAGTTGTTTAATTATTAATATTCAAATAAAGCTTCATGCACGTTGTACATTTCCTAACTTAAAAACTATCATGAAGTTAATGGAAAAAGAAGAGAAAATCAACTGTTGCGGTTTCCTTTTGTCTGTGAAATGATGCTGGAATCACTTTTCTTGGTCCACGGTCATGAGAAGCGTGACCTCAGGCATCTGAAGTTGACCTTTGACCTTGTCGTGGAACTTCTCCCTGTAGCGATTGAACTCCATGATGCTCTCCGGCTCCTCTTCCAACCAGAACTTATCAAACTCATACGCCAGGTAACCTGCCAGCAGGAAACACATCAACATAAGTGAGCGTATCTCCAAGAAAATAAAAATTATTACATTTTACAAGCAAGCATGGAACTTTAAATGCAATATTTACAGTAATATAAAAAATAAAAAAGTTTAAATCAGCAAAAATGCAGTACAACAAACATTATTATGCTGACTAAAATATATATTAAAAATAACATTTCACATTTTATACTTTTTATTATTTATACTTAAATACTGCACATTTAATTTTAATAATAAATTTATTTAATAATACAACAATAAACAATATATTAAATAAAATATAAATATAATTATTATTAAGATTATTATTATATATATTTGAAATACTATTATATTAATAATGTAATATTAGTAATTTATTATTGTTTTTTTCTACATTAGAAATAATATAATAAACTGGGTTAAACATCTGTATTGTCCTAAACTTTGCCTTAATTTTCTTTAATCAAAATGTTTTTTTTTGTTTGTTTTTTTTAATTTTGAAATTGAATATGATCAGACCATGATCTTGACAGGTTTTGTGAGACTCACTGCTCTTGATATACAGTGGGTACGGAAAGTATTCAGACCCCCTTAAATTTTTCACTCTTTGTTATATTGCAGCCATTTGCTAAAATCATTTTATTTAATTATTTAATTATTTTTACTCACAGTAGAACTGATGGAAGTGCTGCATTTGGGGTTTTCCAGGTACTGTGTTATAGAAATGAGGCTTCAGAGCGTCATTCTTCATTAAGCTGTATGCCATCTCTGTCAGATTGATGCCCACTATGGCATACGAGTACCTGCAATGACACGAAGCATGCTATGATGAGGAGCAACTTTTATCAGTTATGATGGCGAGAGTCATCAGTGGGGACTCACCCCAGTCTGGGGTGATTGGCGTGTGACAGGACCTGCCGGGCTGCGTCTGTGTAATTCTCACTGAAAAAACTGGGCAAACGAAGAAAAACGTCAACCTAAAAGCATTAGGGAAGCAATGAAACGTCATCTTCTCATAAGCAGAGGAGCTGTACTTACAGGAGGTTTGTGAGTCCCAGCATCCCCATCCCTCTGAAATCAGTCTTGGGATCGTCGCCCTGGAAACCAATGTTTCCCCACTGCTTAGTGATCCTCGATTCCAGCTTCACTGACGGCATTAACAGATCCCACAACTGACAGAAAACAAACACAAACCAGTCAGAACTGAGAACCTCTGAAGCTCAAATGTGACTTAAGCCTGGTTTTGTGGTCCAGGGTCACATATCATCTTCAGCTAAGATATCAGACCTGATAAAAATGAGATAAATCACCTTCAGAAGCATCTTCTCATGTTCTTTATTCTCGGAGTCAAACACCTCTTTTCTTAGTTCCTCGACCGCCGCAAACAGCTCGTTATATCCGCTGATTTGTAACAAACATTGACGGAAATTCACCTTAAACCTGTAAGAGAGTTTTTTTTTTGCATGTAAAACAGCATTTAGACCTTGATAATACCCACAACATACACATATCTCGAATACATGCTACAAATAAAACAATAATCAACTGTGAAAATTAGACAGCAATAAGAAACTAGTACAGTAAACAAGAAACAGTAGTAAAAAGGGTGCTAGAGTTAATAAGCTAATTTATTGATTCACTATTAGTCAAAATGTTTATTCAAGTCCAAGTGTTTTTATTTACATTTATGCATTTATCCGATTTTTATATATTAAAATAAATATGTAACGGTTTAATATTTATTAAAAGTGTTTTAATATTATTTTCATATATTTTAGATTTTATTTTAATTATGGAAAACTTATTCTAGATTTTTTTTTAATAGATTTTTACATTATTATGAATTTTACATAACTTATCATATGTTCGAAATTCATTGATTGGGACATTTTACACTATATAATGCCAGGTGTATTTTAATATGCTGATATGGGATCAGGTAGTTTCTGAGCTTTATTTATTTAATTTCTCCCTTCAAATATTGTTATTCCAAATTAATGGATGTTGTACTTCGTGAAAAACAATAAATATATTGTTTAAAAAATCTAACATAATAAATTTTGTCAAACAAACTGGCAACAGAGGCTACTTGGTCAAAATAATGGTTTGAAAAAAACTGAAAAAAAAAAATAAATTAAAAAAAAAAAATATATATATATATACACACACACACATTTTTTCTGGATGTTTCCCCCCCCTGAAGTTTCAAATATAAATACCCCTCTGGTGTTGAGAAGTCTTGCTGGGATGGACTATGAGCTTCTCAGGGAGCATCTGGTAATACGTACTCACTGTATATATATATATATATATATTTAGAAATCATTCTTAATGCATATCACTGGACATAGTGTGGTGAGAAAACTTAGTAATGTAAAAAAATATATATTTGACAGATCAACTCAAAAATGTGAATGTCACAAAATAAGGTGCATTGCAAAATGTTCAAGTTTATTTCCCTACTGAACAAAGTTAATGCAGTCTTAAGAGAGCCTCACGTAGGATCTTTCTGCTCCTTGATTCTCTTTTCCCGGATTATTTGAGCCAGATGGTCGTCCAAATCATTCTCCTTCAAAGACAGAGCCGCTCGCAATACCTGATCGAACACAAACAAGCATACTTTAGAGCACAGTATAGAGCGAAGGTCATCAATCTGATCAATAGGTCTTGAGTGAGGAATCAGGTCCATATTAATGTTTAGCTCTCAGATAATAAAGCTCTGAAGCAGCCGGAAATCAGTGTGTCCGTCACTCTTACCTTGCTTTTGGAGGACTTCAGAGAATACTCTACAAAGAAAAGCAACAACGACAGGTTTGCAAAAGTGATGCATAACAAATCAAATACTGTCTTAAAGGAACAATTCAGCCAAAAATTTGACTACAAACAGGTCAAATGATTCCTTTAAATGGTCTCCCATATATAAAGGTATACATAATTGTATGATCATCACCTATCTGTGACGTCCTCAGAGCTCCAGCTTTGCATTGGGCACAAATACGCTGCAGCTCGCATCTTCCTGTGATCAGCCGGAGGAACCATTTCAACCAGAAGCGCAGACATGAGGAATAGAAACACTGCCAGATATACCCCAACATCCTCTGCAATACAAACAGCATAAGTTAGTTTCAGTCCAACTGCACTTCCTTCCAGATAATTAATTATATATACAGTATATGCAACAGGAACACAACATACTCTAGATGGACACTTTCCATGCATTTTCTTAGAACAAAATACATACAGCTCATGCAAGCAGTTAACACCGGCTTTAGTGGCACACATCAGTAATGCAGACTTCATTCAATGCGAATGAGCTGCTGATCCCTTGTACTGTGTGACAACAACAGCAAGCATTCTGCTAGGAATAAGCATTACTAGTCATCTCTAACCAATACGATCTGTGCTCGGTCAAATCAGGCACAAAGCGCACACACACTGGTCAACAGCATGAGCAAAACAGCTTATTCATAACCCAAAAGTGATGCTTTAAGAAAAGCAGCTGGACAAAACAACAGGTTGTTCACGCGAGACATACTGGACAACAAAAACACAAATAACCAGCGTGAATTCAACTAGTAACGCTGCCAACGTTTATACTGCTTCACGCTGAGTCGCGGCATTTAATACTATGTGCTAAAGGTTTTTTTTGTAGTGCAATAACTGTACGGATCACACTTACTAACAGTCTCGTCGCCCGGAAATGATTCGGATTGGTGCGCATGCGCAGACGAACGTCCCATAATCCAAGAGGGCGCAAGTGAGCGCTGATTTGTATTTATTTATTTTTTGTGACAAATCACTTTCTAATTTCAAATCACTGTGCCATTTCATGTTTTCCAACACTGTCAAAGATATATATATATTTATTAATTTAGAGTAGGTTACAGTTCGCAATAACTTACCTGACAAGCACAACGTGAACTGTTTAGAGTGCACTATAAAGTGAGGTTTTATTTGCGGCATATAGGTTAGATATAAACCTATGTATGAATATATAACGTTATATATATGCGCGCTTATCTGGGGGAAATTTCTCTGGCTTGTCTAAACTACGAGTTAACGGGTTTCCTAATTTGAATTTTCAAGCATTTTTCCGTTTTTCATATAGATTACACTTACAAAAAGCAATTAAAGTAGCTAAACATAAGTCAAATTAATTTACCTCACCTCGCGTCGCGGAAGCAATTTCCTGTGAATGTGCGAGACTTCCGTTAGCGGCTAGTAAACAGAGTACAGAAAACGGTAAAACCGTGCTACAACCCAGTTTAATAATAAATTAAAATATGATAAATACCAGTGAGCAAAGTCTAGCAGAATAACAGGCTGTTTTTGAACAGCTAAAATAAGTAGCGACTGACACCGGAAGCCTCGCACATTCCCGCGTACTTTTTTTTATTAAAAATTTTTTTTATTTTCAAATGTTCTTGCGTTCTCTCTCTCTCTGTTGAACACACCCAATTTTGTCTTTCACAAACAAACACATATTTAGTTGGATAAAAACACAAAGTACACAAAGTGCTTTTGTGTTCTATTCAATTCTATTTTCAAGAGTGAAAAAGCTTCTGTGAACAATAATACAAGAATAGACCAAAAAAAAGAAACAAAAAGCCAATTATTTTCCAAAATACTCCATAAATCATAAACTAACAGAAAAGAAGCATACAAAGAAGCATGGAAATAAATAACTCACTAGTACAAATAAGAGTGAGGTGCAGTGCATTCAGTGACAGTAGACAAAAGTAACAGTGAGAGTCAAAACTGGTGTTTCTCGGTATGTATTTTACTTCTAAATCCATCAGGAGGCACCAGAGAGCTAAAGCGTAATAACGGCAGGTCCAGAGAGCGGTGGCCATCTTTGGGCATCCTCATGGGTGGAGGTGGCGGGGGGAATATGGACGGGTTTGCACCACCGCTACCATCACTTCCTGTGTTATTATTGGTGTCATCGTAATTGGCAGCGGTTTCCACGACACTGCTAGCGCTCGTTTTCTGGCAATGAGGAAGGAACGAGCCTCTATAGTATCGATGATACAGAAAAAACGCCACCAACAGCATCAGCATGATGAGCAACATGAGCAGGCCGAGGACAATATAAACGCCCCTGAGGATTGTGGGAGATGGTGTCCAACTACAGTCTAAAAAGTGAGGGGAGACAAATTAAGTTATGAAATGTAATGACAGAATTTTCATTTTTAGCTCAACTGTTCTTTTAAAGTGATATGAAAGCGGTCTAGTTCAAGTTAATATCTGAAAGCTCCCACAGAACAGTGCACACCTGTCAATATAAACTTCTGAATATCAATCTCTTACCAGGTTCAGTAGACGCCATACAAACGCCGTCTCCCGGCCCATGAGGAACCGCACGGTAACCATGGATACAGTGACAGGAGTATGATCCAAACTGATTCACACACTCAGCGTGAGCATCACACACCACTATTTGCGTCTCACACTCATTGATGTCTGTTCAAACACACAAATGGGCCATCAGAAATTATTCAGATAAACAGGTGTTTTTGGTAAGATCACAGCTGCATAATATGTGTCCATGTAAAAGTATTTTAAACAATGTTTCTAATTCTTTTATAATTATAATTATACTGAACGAATGAACGACATACATACCATATATACATAACATATATACCTTTTTATTTTATATAAAATGGACATTTAACAAAATATTTTGGAAACTATAATTTCTATAAAATCAAAGCCCCATGTCTAACCAAGTTATGGGTTATGTTCCAAATTTGAAGTTGATATCACAAAAAACAATCTAGGTTCCTGTAGCCATCGGGCTACACCCAAACTCCATTGAATTTTTAAATGAATTTTCCTGTCACAAATGTATAAATTTGTCTCAGTATTATTTATATCACAAAACAGTCACCAAATATGGAATCTTTCCTTTGTCAAGATTAGAAAAAGTTGATTATAAAATATTGTAGTAAGTTCTATAATTTTACACTTGACACTGCCCACTAGGGGGAGGAGCCCGATAAAAAGGTTTAAAGTACCATTTCCATGGTAACCCAATGTCCGATTTCAAAACTCTTTTCACAAGATATATTTTAAGTGCTTAAGCTTTCGTATGATATCCAATTAGGATGATTACTAAAATATGTAATGGGGAAAAAGGCCATTTAAAAAAAAAAAAAAAGAAAGTGAAGTGACATGTGGCCAAGTATGGTGACCCATTTGGTGGTGGTGCATTTATCCCATCCAAAGTGCACACACACACTGTGAACACACACCCGGAGCAGTGGGCAGCCATTTTTGCTGCAGCGCCCGAGGAGCAGTTGGGGGTTCAGTGCCTTGCTCAAGGGCACCTCAGTCGTGGTATTGAAGGTGGAAGAGAGCGTTGTACATTCACTCCCCCCACCTACAATCCCTGCCGGTACGAGACTCAAACCCGCAACCTTTGGGTTACGAGTCCGACTCTCTAACCATTAGGCCACGACTTCCTCAAGAGCAAGAGCACCAAGTGTCAGACTAGTAGGGCACTGACAGTTAACAGGTTAAAAGAAAATTTATTTAATTAATGATTAATTAATTAAATTTAAAAAGAAAACTTCTCCAAAAAGTATTACAAATATTACATTTAAATGAATAAATAAACAAACATCCAGAGTCTAAAGTAGTGGTCTATTCCAATTTTTGTAGTTCTAGATCAAATCAATGCGTAATAAAGTTAAACATGTCAAATAAAAAGTAAAATAAAATAAAATGCCGTTTTATTTAAATAAAATAAAAATGACAAATACACAACAAAATTACTAAAATAATAATAGTAGGCTAGCATGAGGTCAGAGCAAGGTTTCTGAAAATGCAGAGTAACCTGAAAGATCACAGGACAAGTAAATGTACATGTGGTGTGAGAGCACCTTCAGTGGAGACAGATGCAATGACGCCCTGTGTTTTGGTGCTTTGGGATTTGATTGTTCTGCCCTGCAGCCCCTGCAGCCTGGACTGGAGGTCCCCGTGTGTCTGCAGCCCTACAGCCACTTTCTCAAACTGCAGCCACACGATGAACAAAACGCCAGAACTCAACCTGGAAACAAATTGATCGACAGTCTGTCAGCAGATCGATTAGAAGAATCTCCCAATTAATATGCTGGAGGAAGAGAACTTCATACTCACTTTTTTAGTCTTTTGAAGTCCAGGCTCTTTGGAGTGAGATGTCCAAATGCTTCTCGTATCTATAAACCAATTTTAAGCCAAAAAGTTGCTCAACTGACAATACTCTGAATATCTAGAAAGGAGATCAAAATGTTGAGCCTCACCATGGTCTCTAGAGCAGATCTGAGGGAAGAGGATTCTTCATGATGTTCAGGCTCCAGATTGACCTCGACACTCACCTCGAACAAGAGCTCTGATTGGACAGATCATACGACATCATCAGAATGCATGCTGTATGTCATCTATAGTGTGACCTAAAACTTCTGTTACTTTGATTTTAATAATAAAATCTACTGGTAGTTGTATTATTAGGTTGTGTTAAAGCGTTTGAAGGCACTTCTCACCCCCAGGTAAATGCCTGTTGTGGGTGACATTTTGTAAGGTTTGCTGGTAGCCAGTTATCTCTGTGGGATGAAAACAAAGGTTAACACAAGAAAACCTTAAGTAAAGTTAAAATATCTTGTTCATATTTTAAAAATAAAAATATTTATTAGTAGTAGTAGTAGTAGTAGTAGTATTCACTTTTCAAAGCACTAATAAAATAATTAATATTGTTAATATTACCCATTGCATAATAACAACAACAACAACAACAACAATCTTATTTTAGGGCCATTTTAGGATCCTGCTAATGTTCAAACAAAACTGTAATGAAACTAATGTACTGAAATGGTATAAAACAAAGAAATTAAAATTGAAAAGTACATACCTTACTATTTTAAGAAAATTGTAACAAACGTCTGTCATGATAGTATGTTTTACTGAATCGAATTTATGCTTATTTAAATTTTTTTTAATCTAGAAAGGATGATTTCCATTATTGTAATAATTAATAGTTAATATTACTTCTTGCATAATAATAATAAAAACAAATAAAATGTCTATATTGTTAATATTACCGCTTGCATACTACTATTACTAATAATGATCTTTTTAAACATTAAATTATTAATATTATTAATATTACCCCATGATAATAACAACAAAATAATTCTATTTTAGGCCCATTTTTTAATTTCTCTAAGTAATTTTGGGGGGTAAAGTGTACTTAATTTTCATGAAAATGTTACAAAAAAAAAAAAAAACAGTGGTCCTATAAAGAGGAATTCTTTATGCAAAATGTAATCCTTTTTAATTGTAAAAAAGAAAAAAAGTAACTGCACCTTTTGACTTGCGGTGTAATTTGGGTTGCATTACAGGTAGTGTGATGCTGCTCTCAGTCGCTGTCGTCTCCATGGAAACGCCTTCCTCATCGTCCCACTGTCCCTCTCTCACTCCTCCAGCATCAGGTGCCGTTCTGGCTCTGACCAGCTCAGTTTGACTAGAAGAGTGCGCTTGTGCGTCCACATTCCTGCGCATGGCAGACGGAGAGCGGGCGGCGGCTTTGAGGTGTGGCACATGAGTGTGTGCGCTGAGGGTCATGTCTGAGATTTGTGAGTAAGCCGTTTGATATCTGGGGCGTATTTGAGCTGGTCCACTTTCGGGTTGGTTGTGCTGGGTTTCTTTTTGTGATGTTGCAAAGAAATTATCATCGTAGAATGCATCATCATCAACCGCATCGTTACCGTGGTAACCAGACGCTACAACACGAGGAGATGAATCTCCGGGATTCTTTTCCCAGGTTTCCCTCTTCCCTAAAGGAAGTTCATTGGTCACCGAGGATCCAAACCTCACAGTGTTGGTCAGACCAGCAGATGTAGTTTGTGTTTTCACTCCTGATGGTTGGACATCTGCTGTGACGTCTCTCACACCTGGTGGAGGATCCGTAACTGCGTCCGTTTCATCTTCATCACCACCCAATGCTGCTTCTATCACCTCTACAGGAATGTCTGTCAAGAAAAATACAAAGAGTCATGTGACATCTACACAGCAGTTTACAAGAAAATAAAAACATTCAGTCACCATAATACATTGATTTTCAGTGAAGAGAAAACATTACATGGCATTTCAATAAAATGACTGAAAACGATAGATAGATAGATAGATAGATAGATACACACAGACAGTAAAAAAATATTTCTAAAGTATGTTTTACAAGAAAAAATATTTCAGTCTTTCTACTTTAAAATTTAACATTTAATTCAATGTGTTACTTGTGGTTTCTTTGTTATTAATTGTGAAATTTACTAGCAATTTCTTAGTAATAATAAATAAATAAAAATAGTTTCACTATCAATATTAGTAGTAGTAGTAGTAGTATGGGAATTCAGTGAAAATGTACAAACACTAACCCAGTTATATAAAAACTCACTCACCTTCATACATGGGATCAGGAGAATCCAGGGATCCGAAAGCTTTATAAAGTCCATAGAAGCCCCTGTACGGGACGGGACGGTTCCCGTTGATGAGCAGCACCACCTGAACCGTGTTGGACACAGAGATGTATCTGGCCTTTCTCCAGCACCGTTCCAGAATCCTCTGTCCTCCCGCACCCGCTGGAGACTCATCCAGGTGGATCTGATCGCTCTTCTGCGGACAGGTGTCTGAGGGAGTCAAGTCCTCCAGATACAGCTCCAGACGCTTCCCAGGAGACACCTGGATGGTCCAGTTGCACCACACGGGGGGGTTTGAGCACAGATAGTCAGGGGAGAAGAACTCACCGCTGTCGTCGCCGAGGACTTGATGGCAGCTCCGCAGGGCAAAGAAAGCGTATCGCTCGCGGCCTCCACCTGACGAGAGAGAGCCAACGTCTTAGCACATCTATCCCCCAAAAGATTGAAACATTTTAACTGAAGAGGAAAAGTGGCATTTAAATGACCAGAAATAAGATTAAAATTATATATAATAATATATTTTGTTAAAAGTATATAATAATAATAATAATAATAATAATAGAATTTACTCCCTAAACCATCTAAATATTTTCATTGGAGGAAAAATTACAGGGGATTTAAATAACAAAATAAGATAAAATTTTATTAAATTAAATATATTATTTTTTTAAGAAATAATATAAATATTAATAATGTATATATAATAAGAAGACATAAGATAGCTAGCATTTTAGTATATTTATCTCCAAAAGTATAAAAATATTTTCATTGGCGAGGAAAAATTACAGGGGATTTAAATAATAAAAATAAGATCGAATAAAATAATATTAAATATATCATTTTTTAAGAAATAAATATAAATATGAATAACGTATATATAATAATAAAACATAAGATAACTAGCATTTTAGTATATTTATCTCCAAAAATATCAAAATATTTTCATTGGAGAGGAAAAATTACAGGAGATTAAAATGAATAAAAATAAGATGCATAAATAATATTAATAAATTTATATTCTTACAAAATACAATATAAATATTAATAATAATACAAGATGAAATAAGATAGTAAGCATTTTAGCAAATTTATCCTCCAAAACATCTAAATATTTTCATTGAAAAGGAAAAATTACAAGGCATATAAAAAACTAGATATCCCCCCCCCCAAAAAAAAAATTATAGATTAAAATGAATAAAAATAAGATGCATAAATAATATTAATAAATTTATATTCTTACAAAATACAATATAAATATTAATAATAATACAAGATGAAATAAGATAGTAAGCATTTTAGCAAATTTATCCTCCAAAACATCTAAATATTTTCATTGAAAAGGAAAAATTACAAGGCATATAAAAAACTAGATATCTCCCCCCCCAAAAAAAAAATTATATAAATATGCAAACAATAACAATAATAATCCTATTCGGTTATATAAATACAAAATATGAGTATAATTTTGTAAAGAAAAAAAATATTTCTAAACATTTATCTATTCCTCCTTTCAAGATATACATTGTGCATTATGTTGTATCTTTTCAATGAGTTTTTTCTCTCCATACTGCAAAGCTGATGATATATATTGTGAAAATGCTATGCATTATAAATTGAATATGTTTCTCTATATTTGATTATAAACAAAATGCACACTTAGATACTTACAAAGTAAATATTTTTATGATTTCTTTTAGCTTTTTTCTAGGAAAATTTTAATTTTCCTCTTCTTCCTTACGCATTATAAATGGGTCTTTACACAAGAAAATATATTGACATCTTTAAGTTTTAGGAAATTTTGTTTTAATACGTTTGAAAACCCCTGAGGACACAAAACAAGCATTTTAAATCTAAAGCACGAGGAACAATACGGCACGATGTGTCAGACAGCTGTTTACCTGCGGATGCTTGGCCGTCATTTGTGCTCATCTGCCAAAAACAGACAGTGTGAGTGAAACGTGCAGCGATCAGACCGCCATCAGAGGAGCATCGACGAGTTACTCACCTCAACGCAGCTTATCAAAGCTGCCAAATAGATTAATATCAGAAGACTGTATTTACTCCATAAATGCCGCCGTGGCATTTTAGATTTATGCTCGTAAACTTTCTACGTTGCTGTCAGATGCTTGTTTTAAAAAGTAAACGGAAGACGCTGAAAGCATCACCTGTATTATATCTGTAGTTAATGAGGTAACTTTACCTGTCGCGCATGACCGAATGAACGAGGCTGGTCTGACCTGCGACGCGCTCTTGATCCGGCAGAGGGCGCCGCGCGAACACCTAAATATGTGGGTTGGCTGGGAGGATTACTTACAAATTGTAATCCGTTACTGATTCCAAATTACATGACAAAAATTGTAGTTAGTAACGTAATCCATTACATTACACATTTTAGGTAATATAGCCTAACCAGACTACTTTTTGATTACTTTTAGATTACTTTTGACCTAACTCGTTTATCACAGTGATTTAATCCTGTACCATAATGATGTAAAAATGCAAACAAAAAGAAAATATATTCCATTTGTTGTTTTTGACAACATGAAGTGCATTAAACATTACATTATGTCAAAGTTTCCCAAACTGGGGTTTGTAAAGGAACTGCAGGGGGTTTGTGAGTTTAATGAAAAGCAAAAGATTAATTCAAGCATAAAAAGGTACAATTAAAATAAATCATTTTAAAATAACATCAATCAAAATAAAACACTTACTAAAAAATTACAATCTTTTATTTGTTCACCTGAACGTCATGTGACCACTAACCATGAACATGCAAATGTGATACTTAATTATTAAATGCTTATTTTAAAATCTCAGAGGTACTTTAAGTAAATATATTAGGGGAAAGAGGTTGGGCTGACAAAAAAAAAAAAAATTTGGGAATGCCTGTATTACATGTAAATAAGAAACAAAGTGAATTTGTGCATTTTAATGTGTTTGAAACACAAAAGCCTGCAAAGACAAAGTAATACATGATTACATAACCCTCTGCGTGTTCATCAGTAGTTGATGCAATGTTGAAAGGTTGAGAAAACACTTCTTAAAATGATTTTTGTAAATCCAGTGGTCAAATGCTGTGCGTAGCCTCTCAAATTTCTGTTTAACAGTGACTGGTCTTTTTGTGAATGTCCGCAAAACTAGAAGACTTTCTGACTGTATATAAGTGGTAGGCTATTTTAGAAAGGAAAAATTAGGAGAAATCAATAAATTATGAATAATTTATTGCTATTGTGTGAATAATATGTAATCATGTTATCAATAAAAAGTCTGATTCCGAGTATTTTAAAATGTCATTTAATCTAATTACAAGTACTTCATTTTTGGAATCTGATTACATAATCCAGATTACATGTAATCAGTTACTACCCAGCTCTGGCCGTGACGAAATGGAATACTAGCGTACTACACAATGCATAGCCGAATATACCGAATTATGCCTGTTTTTAAAAATAGAATGAGAAATACTGAGCATGATGCAATAATAAAGTAAGCATCCTATGATAATGGTAATAATATCATGGAAGAGTGCTTGAAGTGAGTACTCTGAAGAGTACTGGGTATTTTTTTACATGTCCCGTACACAAAGATATACAGTATCTATACTGCTGCTTTATTTTGAATCTGAATGTAAGCTTGTTTGTAACAGCAAAATTATAGATATTAAGACTGTTGTAGCAAATAAAACTTTTGAATCAAATATGGCCTCAAAACAAACTCGGGTTCTTCTTTTTAAATCCCAAGTAAAACTGCAAATAAATTACCTAATTATTGACAATGATTTGTGAGGACCAGGATCAAATGTGATCATAAACAGCAAAATTACTTTCAAACATAAATATAACTTTAGTAGTTTAAATATAAAACACTGCTTTACTGGAATGATAAAGACAAGTTTCACTTGTCAAGCCTATTTCAGAATGTTTTCAGGACAATTTTACCCATAATCACAATTTTGGCTTGTACTGAACAAATTACTGAACGTCACACAAAATAGGACATGGAAATCTCATCCTTTGTGCTCGTCTTCCCTATGGAAGAATTATACAGTAATGGGATTTGGATTTTGTCTTTGAACTTCGGAGACTCGTTTAGTTCACTGTGTGTTGTTAAGTGTCCTACAGTATGTTGCCCTACAACAATGGTGCAGTGGTCACAGCTCACTTGCACAAACAGTAGACAAATTAAGCAATAAAACAGCTATTATTATCCTTGTGTTGATAGTGTAGTCGGAGAACAATCAAACAGAAGCTTCCTGAGAACACAGAGGTTTAATGCAAGTGGTCAAACAGCTCAGCTATACTTTTCCACACACAAATACAGGCATAAATTAAAACAACAACATAAAAATACACAAAATAAACACATCAATTTTGCTCTTTCTTGATATGAAAATACACCCCGATTTCTTTATGTCAACATGCATCATAGTGCATCATATTTCACTCATTTTGAGTAAACAAAGGCAAAAGCGGTGTAAATGCAGCACAATCCCTCTGAGAGGTTTAATGCAGGTCTAATTCAAGTTCTTACAAAGTGAAGAACATGAAATGAAAACTTTCTTAACGCACGTTTCTGGTCTCATTGCGAATTGTAATTCATTGCGTCAAAGTGAAAGAAGTGTCGTAAGTATGTGGACCCAGCTAACAGAGAACATTCTCGGAATGTTCTAGCAAGGTTCTCTCAAACGTTCTTCCAGTAACATTAATAGAACATTTGTTTAAAGTTCTGGAAACTTTTTACTGAAATGTTTTAGTTGGACGTTCATCTAACGTTTTTTAAATGTTACAGCTTGTTTTAGAATGTTCAGAGAACATTCAAACGTAACATTCCCATGATGTTTGCAAAATGATATAATGGAATGTTCCCGTAACGTTCACATAACCGAAAAAAAAAAACATTTATAAAACTTCTAAAACAACTGAATGTTTTGAATGCTCAGAGAACATTCAGAAATAACTCTTCTGTTAGCTGTATTTTTGTTAAGAGGGCATTGGTTTACAATCGTTGCGTTCTATTTGCTTTTGCTGCTTCGCATCGCGCCCTTCATGTCCAGTGTAGTTTTGATGTAACATTTCGCTTTAGGGTCATTAATCCAAGACCAGATCTTTATCATGTCCTGTGGGCTCCTGGGATGAACCAGAATCAGACTTTTGTAGGCACAAGGATTCTCTCTGTGCTTCTCCTCAATGTCAAAGGTCTTAAAGCCCATGTGTTTCTCCGGTACTAGTCCTAGTCTCTTCAGACACATCCCTGTAAACACATCGTCAATCGGGTACAACGTGACCAGACGGGAGATCATTCTTAACCGCAGCCCCAGATTACCCGAATACAGGAAGCCTCCACCTCCTGCGTATGGAGGGTAAACGCCACGAAACACGCTCTCAGGGATGTAATACTTGAGGTGTTTGGTCCGGTGTGGTCCGGCATTAGTGATCACATCGCCAATGAAAAGGTCCTGTGTCTTGGACACCGAAAAGTTGCCTAGGTATGCCAGCATATGCCGTGTATTGACGAAAATGTCATCGTCGCATTTGAACACATACTTGGCGGAAGCGCAATGGGTCCCAAACCACTCCAGAAAGAGGACTTCCTTTAAGGTGAGATTAAAGAACGTGTCTCGATAATCCCACTGCAGGACATCGCCGTACAACGCCGCTTCGTGTTTGACCATGTCCGACAAGTCCGGGAAGTGGTCCGTCGCTGCCGTGTTGCCAAGTAGGAATACTGTCGCAATCCGCTGGCCGTCGAGAATCCCAGCGCGACCCCATGATTCCCGGATGGCCTGCCGTCGGTCAAAATGCGGTGCAATGGACTTTACTGCAAGCAAGAGGTACGGCGGTTCAGAACACACGTTGGGTGCGTCCGTTATCAAAGGGTACGACCTACATCCCATGTACAACAAGAAGTCCTGGAATCGCTGTGGTAGGGACTTAAAGTCTTCAATCTCTGTCGTCACCCTGCTGTCCGGCTTGCAGGGACTCGTGCGATTCAGCCAACGTGGGATTCCCCTAAAGTCACGAGGGGCTTCACTGCCATTTGCAAGTGGCAGGTAGTAGATATCATCGAGACGCGCCTGCTCGCGATTCCAGAACGCTGGACTGAACTCTGGCTTCTTCCAGAACTTTTTGGGCGTCAGTTTCCGTCGATTGTAGATGTCTCGCCCCTGCCCATAGCTTCTGGACACTTCCACCACGAAGTAGATGAGGAAGTTTGCTAACATCAGCAATCCCAGCACCTTGGTGGTCTTCCAGTTGCTGTTCATCTTGAAGATGCCCTCACCACCTAAAAAAACAAAACAAAGAAACGTATTACCTGTTGGGTTACCGTCTGGGAACAGAGGTGTGGAGAGTCTACAGAACATGGAGGAGAAAGTGTGACGGGCAAACCACAATGACCTGGAAAGTGGAGGAACATGCTAGTTACATTAGTCAAAGCCAGCTAGTATGGACTTGAGCTGTGAGTGTTTGATCCATCGACATAAAAAATGTATTAAAAACTCAACCATACACCAAAATAAAGTTTGTTACACTCTTAAAAATAAAGGTTCTTTATTGGCACTGATGGTTCCATGAAGAACATTTAAAATCCTTGAAACCTTTCCATTGCAAAAAAGGTTCTTTTGACTATTAAAATGTTCCTCACACTAAGAAAATAATGGTTCTTTTAAAAACTGTTTACAGAAAGGTTCTTGCGGGAACCAAAAAATAGTTCTTCTATGGCATCACTGCAAAAACACCCTCTTGGAACCTTCATTATATCGGCATTATAGAACCTTTTAACATTAATGGAACCTTTCTATTCCACTTAATGTTCTTTATAGTGGAGAAAAGGTTATTTAGATTTTTAAAATGTTCTTTACAATACGAAAAGGTGAAAGGTTATAAGAGTTATATGAGTTTTACAGAAAACCTTTACTGAATTAGTGAATTAAGCTGCACTCACACTGCACTTGAAAGTTTCCTTCACATCTGATACATATCTGTCGACTGAATGAAAATGAGTAAAAATCATGAATTTCAATTTTGAATCTGGACTGCTTTCATATTTGGAAATAAATTGGATTCATATGCTTTATTTATTTATTTTCTCCGAACAAAAAATGTCTCTGAAACAACTTTCCCATGCCACAAAATCTTCTTATTTTTCATTAATTTAAATGTTATCATTAAATCACTTTGTAATAAGTTA